TTTGCCAACGAAGCAGGGCATTAAAAAAAAAATGAGGAAAATGTTATGAAGTAATTTCTACTTAAGAAGCATATGAAGAAAAATCGCCCTCATGGGGAAAAAATCAGATGTGTGTTGATTTTCCCCACACATATTTTATGGTTTAGCTTTTATTTATTTTGCATTGGGTGGCAAAAGGGGAGGAGACACCAAAATTCTTTCAGTGTTTGGGACCTCAAACTTGGCCCTGAGCTTAGACGTACTAGTTCTTAGCTGACCCCCCCCTGTAAAACTGAACTAATGTTCTCAAGTCATGGCGCACGCAGCTAAGGCTGATGACGCGGGATGATAGAAGCAAACAGTATTGGCCACGTGGAGAAATCTCAGTGTCCCCCCCCCCCTTATTTCATGTGTCTCTGTCTCTGCTTGTCCCACCCAGGCTTGAATTAACTTTTCTTTTTACACAGCTGTGGGAATGTTTTCACCCAGCAACAGAGGCGATCTGTCCCCACTCCCCGCAAAGAAGCAGTGCGTGAGATCCCTCAATAGAATTTCCTTTCTGGACACAGTGGTGGCTTTGTTTGAGGGGTACCCAGGGCCGTAAGACAAACCCAAATGTCTCTGAGAATTTATCCCATCCAGTTCCCTGCTTGGCTCGACTGTAGCCTCCGGGGCTGCTGGTGGCCTCTTTCAGCCCTGGGTTTCCCCGGACCCATGTGTGGTCAGCACGTTTTGGGTCATGTGAGAATAAGAGGCCAGCAGACCCAGCCCAAGGCCCTTTGCCCAGCCACCTCAGGCGGTGGCTCCTTAACTCCCCAGGAAGCTGACCTGTTAGGCTGGGCAGTATCACCCTTTGTTCATCTGCTGAGTAAGTACAGCATGTCTCCCAGAGCTGGAATCTGAGACGCCTTTTAAAGAACAGAGCTCATTGCTGCTGTGGCCTTGTTCATTCTGGGCATTTTTGAGGCTGCCTCAGTGGTTCTTACCATCCCTCTAGGTCAGCTCTCCCCAGAGTTCTCATCCACACCCACTATCTCCTCCACAGGTCTGAATAAGACTTAGCTGTCCCAGATTAGCACATGGATTCCCACAGGGAATCTGGCCTTACTGTTGTTAATTGTCCTTTTGAAAACCACAGGGCCAAGACCTGCTCCTGTCACCCAATAGCAACAGCTTATGCCACCTGCAGTCATGGAGACTGAGTGTGTACCCAGGGCCTGAGTTTCTGGAGACACATGTGTTCCTGGGTTTGTGGGTCCCAAAGCCTCCCCTTTCCTCAGGCCCAGGCTCTAAGCCAGCTTCTTGCCAAATCATATACTTTCGTAGTTTATCTCACTTTTTGTTTCTAGTTCCACATGGGGCAGGGGCATCATTTTTGGCCTGTCCCCAGAGGTGGCTGCATTTCCTGGAGGAGACTTAAGCCATAAAAGGAGACAGTGGGTATAGTGATTAAAGGCATGGGTTCTTAAATCCAAATACCAGGTTCAAATCCTAGGCTATCTGTAACTGATATATACATTGGGCAAATTAACTTTTGTCTCTTCCCCTTTAAAATGGGAAAAGATGCTCAGTATCGGGTACCAGTTAAATGTGTAACACATGTAAACCACTGAACCCTCTGAGCCTACAAGGTGGATTTACTTCCTAGGTACATTTTTTGGGGGGTGTGGGGTGGGGTTTGGAATAGGGTTTCTCTGTGTAGTTTTGGTGCCTGTCCTGGATCTCGCTCCGAAGACCAGGCTGGCCTGGAACTCACAGAGATCCAACTGGCTCTGCCTCCTGAGTGCTGGAATTAAAGGCATGTGCCACCACTGCCCAGCCTCTTCCTAGGTGCATTTAACAAGGAGGATCATAACACTCACAACCCAGTAGGTAAGAATATGAAATGAAGTGAACCATGGAACATCTAGGACAATGTCTAACATATTACAGGCAAGCAGTAAGTCTGAACTATGATACCCTATGTGGTAGTGGGAGATGCTGAGGCCACAGTGTTTAAATTAGGTACCTTCTGAAAAGGCGTACCCCTTATAGTTAGAGAGCTCATCCAGGAAGTCCCCAAGGGGAAAGGGTCACCAAGAAAGCAGAAAGCACAGCCCTAGGTGGAACTTTTGTGTTTATTCTCATCACAGCTCCAGGGCAAGTTCTCCAAATGACCCTCTGGCTGGAAGAAATCCTTCCTTTATTGTCCCAGTTGTTGGGCTGGGCTGGTCAAGGTATGAGGGACTTTCCAGGGTAACCAAGACTTCCAAAGCTTCCCCACATGGCTGTTGTGGAGTTAGCCTCTTGGGCAACAGCACTCCAGGCTCTGAGCAGGTCAGCAGCTTCCCCTGGGGCTAGGCTCCTGCAGCTGCTCCATGGGGCTCCTTGGGGACGGAGTCCATAGCAACCCAACCTCAACAGCCTGGGAACCCTGGAGTAGAGTACAGCTCCAAACACTGCTTCCTGGAGGCACAAATAGCCTGCTGGGAACCCAGAGGAAACCCAGCAGGCCTCCCTGGATCCTGCCCACTCTGGAGACAAAAGAATGGCAAGGAGCTCAGGCTTGGGCCAGGGAAACTGGGCCTCTGGCTCCCGAGCTGCTCTGCTTTTCCCTGGGCCTTGCTCAGCTTTCTGGGAAGTGACTTATTTCTCCAGGGAGTCAAAGGTGGTAGAGGAGTGACCAACGTCTCACTGATAGGAGCTGGGGTTCCAGCCCCAGGACTCTGAGAAAGCTATGGAACTCTTCTCAGGTCCGTCAGTGCCTACCTCAAGTGGCACCACAGGGACAAAAGAGACAACATTATCAGAGTTTCGGAATAAAATGGGACACTTAGAATTGCTATTACCCATCAATGGTTATTACCAGGAAAGTGACAGGCTTAATATGGAGCATGCCAGCATGCCCGGGCTGTGTGTCTGAATCAGCTGGGAATCTTCTAGAGCAGTGGTTCTCAACCTTCCTAATGCTTTGACCCTTTCATTCGGTTCCTCATGTTGTGACGACCCCCCAAAACCTCCAACCATAAAATTAATTTTGTTGCTGCTTGTTCCTGAGCCCTCACTTTGTAGGTGTGTGCCCTGCAAAGGCAGTGTCCCTTAGCACTCTCAAAAGATGCTCGGGGACTGTCCTCTGTCCGGCCAGTCCTACCCCAGGGCAGATCCATGCACTGGTATTCAGTCCAGCCTCCCGCCGGCTGTGTCCAAACTTGTCCTGGGAGCCTAAAGGGCTCTGTTGTCTGTTGTCCTTAGTGACCACTCCCTGAGTGAGCATGTGCCTTTGCTCTTAACCTCTACAAGGAGCAGCAGAGTGGGAGAAGCAGCTAGCTTTGGGCTCTCACTGCCCAGACCTAAAGATGAACAGAGAGGTACCTGTCACTCCATGCCATGGACAGAATTCCACAAGTCCTTTCCCGGCACAGTGGCCCAGGAAACAGAAGACACTCTGGAGATCACATTGGCCAGTGTCCTAGTAGCACAGACCATGAGGCTCAGAGCAGGGAAGGGGCCTGCTTGGGGGCCCCCGAGTGAGCAGAATCAGGTGTAGGAAGTAGAAAGTGAACATGTTAAAAAAAAAAAACCACCCCTTAAAAATAGGCAACCACTCTTCCTCGGCTCTCCTCCTTGTACTGAGATGTGTCGATTTCAGAACTGCCATTTCTCTCCCTTCTAGACAATAGAAACGGCTACCAGATAGCAAGGAGACTCTCACTAAGAAGCGTTTGTAATAATCCATATCAGGGGGTTCTACATAGTTATTAACAAGGGTTGAAGTAAATCTAGACTGCCGTCTCCCAGATGGGTTAAGCATAAACCGAAACCCGAGCATAGCTATAATCAGCAGGGTTGCAGAGCATGTAAATTCCCACCTACAGGCTGCACCACATCCTCTGTGGTTACTAAGCCCGTGTAAGTTGGGGGCAGGGTACATGTGCTACGTAGGTGTCAGGTGAAATAGAAAAACATCAGAAGATAAAAGGTAAGTTTTGACTCTGCGTCAGATAAAAGCCAAGCATGTTAAAAGAAAGCACAGTTGGGATTTCCAACCAAGAGCCCTTCCATGAACTGAAATATTGGCAATAAAACTGCCTGGCGCCAAAGGACACAAGGGAGCGAATGTGTCTTCTTGTGTAAGTACGATGCAGAGTGTTTTGAATAGAGTCTCATGCTAGAAGCTTGTGTCCGTTGAGTAGTGAGAAGGACTCCTGCCACCAAGCCTGATGGGTCGAGTTCCATCCCAGGACTCATGGTGGAAGGGGAGAGCCAACTCATTAAAGTATCCTCTGATTGTCACACAGGCACAGTGACACAGGGCAACACATAAAAATAAATAAATATATAAAGAAAGAAAGAAAGAAAGAAAGAAAGAAAGAAAGAAAGAAAGAAAGAAAGAAAGAAAGAAAGAAAGGAAGGAAGGAAAAAAGAAAGGAAGTAAGGAAGAAAGCTGTAACACAATAAATAAATAAAAATAAGAAAAACCTCCACTCATCTATATGTGAGTATGCCTAATCACAAAGGCTATAGTATGTGTATAAATGGAATATTTCTACAGAACACAAAAAATAGTTGGACCAAAATCTAGGGTGGGTGGGATTTCCTTCTTCATCGTTTACCCTTCAGGCTGCTTTTCCATTTATATGACATATAGACGTTCTATATTAAATAACTAGTCATGCATAACCAATGGTCTCCAAGAAGTCAGAAGAGCCTCGGGATTGTCTGATTCTCTGCCTGTGCCTGTCAATGTTAGTCCGCTACCTTGAACTGTGAACTCTCCGACATTCTAGCTGGGAATCAGCTTCAGTCCACGGATCCCTTCCGAGCCCAAACCTTGCTTTCCCTTCACTCCGTCCTGAGTCAGAGAGGCGGGAAGGACCAAGAAAACAGAGCAGGTGGAGCTGAGCTAGAATCCCAACCTCCTCTGCACAGTGCTTGCCCTGGGTCTGTCCCTGTCCTGTGACATGTGTATAACCAGCTGTGTGGTAGACAGACGGGCCATCTATGAGCACCATGCCAACATGCGACTGCACTCTTTCCTGCAGGTACCTGCTGGAACAGGATTTCCCAGGCATGAGGATCGGGCCCGAGCCGACCACTGATTCTTTCATAGCAGTGATGCAAGGGGACGTAGAGGGGATCATCCCTGGGAACGCCCTGGTGGTGGATCCGAAGAAACCCTTCAGAAAGCTCAATGCCTTCGGCAATGCCTTCTTGAACAGGTGAGTCGGGGTGCTGGGGGGAGGGAAAGGGGGTATGCACAGCTGGGTGGTCTCTCTGCTTCTTTGTGGAGCATGGGGGGGGGGTGAAAGCAGAGGGGTGTGGTCCTGGGAGACTCTGTCTTTTCTAGCAGCTTGACTGTCTCCTGAGTGTAACTTAGTCACTCATCATGGGCTGTGGGACTTGACGGCTGTAAGCGCTGGGCTGAGACCACCTGATGACACAGCAGGGAAAGATCTGACAGTGTCCTGGATCACGTGGCCCTCCCCTGCCCTACCCCAATAAAAGCGTTAAAGGGAAGTTACGTGTTTCCCAGCATTTGCGTACACTATGCCTGGGATTATTTGTCCAAGCAGAAGGGAGCAATAAAGGGTTCTTTCTTGTTTCTGAATGTTCTGACCTGGAAAGAAGGCTGTATTTAAAGGAGAGGCCTTGCGTTTGACCAGTGGTTCTCTTCAGTTCCCTGTGTGACCTTGGGCAGGTCACCTCCTTCCCCCTAGGATGAGTTCAGGCCTGAAAATACCAAGGTCATCATGAAACTTTGGGTTAAGAAACCTCTAGAGTAGTGGTTCTCAACATTCCTAACACTGTGACCCTTTCCCTTTAATACTAATACAGTGTTCCCCATATTGTGGTGACCTCCCAATCACAAAATTATTTTCATTGCTATTTCATAACCCATAATTTTGTTACTGTTATGAATCATAACATAAATATCTGTTTTTCCAATGATCTTAGGCGACTCCTGTGAAAGGGTCATTCACCCCAAAGGGTCGTGACCCACAGGTTGAGAACCGCTGCTCTAGAGCGTGTATGACAAGCTAATCTGGGCCTTCATTCCAGTTATAACTGCACTTAACTGGAATGTGGACAGGTTCCTGGTTGTACTTGTATGTGGTTAATCCGGTTTACATGTACACGGCACTCAGTTTCAAGGCTGCTCTTTCTTATTGGAGATGTTTCTAGTAAAAGGAAAGAACTCTGGCTAGAGATGGGCCCGGAATCTGATCCCACCTTGAGCTGTGGATCTTGGACAAGTGACCACACTTCTTTGTGTCTCACTTTGCTCACGTGTAGTAGAGGATGGTGGTAATCTTTGACGAGTTGGAGCAGAGGCGAGTGAGAGACTGAACAGAAGGTAGGGTGTCTGGTACTTAGTAACTAATAGAAATGGTAGATTATGGTAGGATGGGTAGTTACTGAGTGGATTTTTTTTTTTTCTTTTTGTTTTTAAATTTGATTCGTGGGCTGGAGAGATGGCTCAGAGGTTAAGAACAGAGGCCTCAAGTTCTGTTCACAGCACCAACCTCTGACGGCTCATTGTAGGGGATCCAGGACGGCCTTCTGGCCTCCATAGGCACTGCAAATCATATGCACATTCCCAACATAGACACACATATAAACACATTTTACAAAATTTTAAATTAATGTTTAAATTGATTTCCTAATTATTCAAAGAGAGAAATGGGTACCCACTGATACCCTTTCCATCTCTGGAAATTGAGGCTTATTGCCCAGAAACATTCCCAACATCTCTTATCCTGTAAACTTTCCAGTAGTGACATGTAACCCATAATAGTCTGAGACAAGAAGGGACAGGTGACCTGGTATATGAAACAATGTAGAATGCCAAGTGACAGAACATGTTTCCAAAGCAGGGCCAGGGGGACAAGACATCACTTGTGAAATGTCCGCCTAGTAGGGAGGACCCTCAGGAGGTGGGCGTGACTTCTTAGAAAAGAAATGGATTGAGGTGGTGGGTATTGAGGTGCATTGGGGTGGGGTCCTTGAGACCGGGAGTTTCTATTACCTGTAGATGAGTGAGGAAGGCCTGATCTAGGTAAGGGGGAAGAGAGGCCCATGGGATACTAAAACACGGAATACATATGTATTAGGGGAATTTGATGTAAAAGGATGAGTCAGCCGGGAGTGAACTAAGGCTTGCGGGGAGAGACATGATGCACTCCACTTTGGATAGCTCAGTTTGCAGTGATTGTGAGTCAGCCTCTTCCGAGGCAAAGATGAGCTGGCTTCCAGGTGAGAGGGGAGAAGAACCTGGGGTCCAGGAGAGTCAGTCATCAGAAGAGATGGGCGGGCAAGGTCAGTGGTTAACCCCCTTTCTGGATAACTGTGCTTACAGTGATAATAGCATCTATATGTGACGGCAGATGGTCAGTGATGATAACAGATTTCTGTAATCACCGTAGTAGCCAGCACATTTCTGGGGGAGGAGGTTAATGACATAAAGATGTCATTAGCCAAAACCAGCAGGGCCCGCTGACTTTCTGATTGGACTTTTGAAACCAAGGAAGCCTGTGTGTGACAAGTCTGGCCAACAACACGTAACCTCTTTCAGTATTGCCGTCTTCATGCAGAAGATGACAAAATGCCAGTCACAGAGTCTCCGCCCCGCCCCCCCCCCCACCACTGTCTTCCTACAAACATATAAAGAAAACCCGAGAGGGGAGAAACATCTCAAGAGCCGGTAGCTGTCACTGTGTGGATTTCACTCTTAGAAACGGGGGTGGGAGGAGGATGGGGGAAGATGCTGTTTCATTGTCTGCCTTGCTGAACAGCTTTCTTTTCTAAACTGTAGAAAAACATAATTTAAAAAAAAAATTGAAAATAACTTATACAAAGCATAGACGTGGAAGGTGTTGTGGGGTCAGGGGGAGGAAGTACTCCGAAGATGAGGCCTCTAAGGGGGCCTACCATCTCTCTTTAAAGCCGTGCTTTCGCTTTCGGTGATTAAAATGTTGCGTCTGAAGGAGCAGACCCTGGTGAGGTCCCGCTGCGGGGTTGCTAGCCACGGGGACCTGTATGGCGCTGCTCTGGTGAAACAGACCGCGGGAGGACAGCAGGTGTCCCATCCCCCAGGCGTGGTACCAGGGGGTAGGGTACATATTTTATTGCGGGAGACTCCAGGCCTCGGAGGCAGCAGCTTGGGTGAGCTCAGCAGGGGAAGTGAAACTGTGTCTAGCCCTTGGGCACCTGCGGGAAGATCAGCCACGGTACTTCACAGCGGGGGAGAGTCATCCCAAGAGGCGATGTGGGAAAGCTGGCATTTGACATGGGCACGAAGGGATGGGTGACAGGACACATGAAGGGGAGGGCGAGCAAAGGGCATTCCAGGAAGAAGAGCCTGAAGAGAGGAAGAAAACTATGAGCGGGGAGAGGCAAAAGGAAGGGGCTCAGTGTGGGACCGTCTGACTAGAGGATGGGTGATACTGCGCACTCATCACTAAGACAGTGGCTGACAGAGCCAACTGGGGCCTGCCAGTGGTGGCCACTCTTCTGTCTGGAGCTGGCTGTAGATTGTTCTTCACCTTTTCTGTGCCAGCCACCAGCCCCTCTCCTCCTGAGTACGGCTAGACAGCCATCCTAGAGAAATGCCTGGCTGAGCTAGTCCTGTAGATGCCGATAACACACTCCTGAGTGGTATGATCCATCTCCCAAGGCTAGCCCTGATGCTACCTCCCTCCAAGACCCCACACACACACACACACAACAAAGTCATCTCTCTGCTTGGGTTCTAACCAACCCTGCTTTGACTTTGGGATGCTGACCCCTCCGCACTGTGGCTTGTCATTATTGTGTATAGCATCTTTTTCCACCACCAGGAGCAGGGATCAAAATTGGTATGCCATGGGGATCTTGAAACTAGGGGCTCAGAGCATGAGCCCAGACTGCCTCGGGATCACCTTGGGAATTTTTTCACAAAACAGATCTCTGCATACTGCAGTCACTTTCCGCATGGTCTTGTGTGGGCTTGTGGTCTTCTGCTCTGTATCGTGTGCTAAATAAGGCTTGCAGATGCAGGATGCACAATGATGGGGGGATGCATAGTGATCAAGTCAGAAGAGGGTTCCCATACCCCAACTATGTGCAGATCTCGAGGCTCCTCTTCCCTGTGACTGGGAGCACTGTGCAGAGGAGGTAGAATTCTGATTGGCCATCAGGATCTGGCCAAGCTAAGTAAAGCATTTCAAGGCAGGAAGGGCTGGCCAGGGATCATTAAAGACTTGGGGCCACAAGCATTAAGACAAGGCTTTGGACACCTATGGGAGGTAGGATGACATTATGGAGTATCCCTGTTGGCCAGCGAACATGGTACCAAGGACTTCAAAACAAGATATGGCAGACGGCAAGAGAACCATAACTCACTCCCTGCATTAGCTAGCATACCTAGCAGGCCCCCACCGGGTGACCTGGAACCCTGCAGTCCGTGGGAGGGTCAGGGGATGGAACCCTTTAGGCTGGACCAGCGAGGTGCCTCGGCGGCTCACCACAGCCTTCCTCTCGCCGTCTGTGCAGGTTTGTGTGTGCCCAGCTGCCCAATGCCGTCCTGGAGAGCATCAGTGTCATCGACACACCGGGGATCCTCTCCGGCGAGAAACAGAGGATCAGCCGAGGTGAGCAGCATCCCTGGTGGGTGGTGGTGTTAAGTCACCCAGTCCTGGCCTCTCCTGCCATGTCTGTTATGAGCCCCTGGGTAGCCCATTACCTGCTTCAGCTTTGGGTTTAGGATTTTTAAGACAGTCTCAGGCAGCCCAGGCTGGCCTTGAACTCCTGATCCTCTTGTCTCTACCTCTTAAGTGTTGGGATTACGGGTCTGTACCTCAACACCCAGCTGCCCTATCCTTTTTGCACTATGCTTTGTATCCTCAGCGAGAAAAATCAGAGGAGATGCACCCTCCCGGAACTTGGTGCTGGCAGCCTGGATGGGGGCCAAATTAGCACTCAGAAGTCTGCCTCCGGGAAGGGTCAGCCTTGTACTGGCAAGCCTCTCTGGGAAGTGGCCAGGGCTCTCTGAGTTGACCTCAGGCGACACATGCCTCCATGACTCCTCACTGGCATAGGTGTGCCCATCTATCTATCTTGCCATCACAACAGAACCCAAGAACCCCTTCCTCAAGGGCGTGGCCTGTACAGGTGAACCCCCATTTACTCCCAAAACCTCAGAGAGGAGAGTCATGGAGCAACAAGCATATGGCCGTGGCTGTGGATCCTTGAGGCTTAATAGTGCAGGCCATTGGCCCAGGGAAGGCTCTGGACTTCTCTCTCGAGCTCCTGAGCTCTTGTTCTGCTTCTCTGTGAGGATAGTAACTCTCCTCTAGGAAATGTGAGTATGGAAAGGCTCAGCTCCTTGGGGGCACACAGTAGCTGTGTGTGAGCATAAGCAGTGGGAGAGACTGCCAGAGAACCCTTTGGGAAACCTCTCTCTCTAGGTGAGCTCCAGGCAGGCCTTCTTAGAGTTCCCCTTCTAAAGCAGTGTTGGGGGGAGACATCACAAAGCATCTGAGCAGGAACTCCCTCTGTCCCAGGAGGTAAAACCTGGAAAGCAGAGAGGAAGGAAGCAGTTGAACTGGAAGGGCACCTGGAAAACCGTGTTCCCAGTTTCTGTAACTGGTGACCTGTGATGGGGTCCAGGAAGCCGGGTCCCTTGGCCCCTACCTAACTCTGGGCTCTGGTGGAATGAGGAGCAGTCAGTCTGCACCTACAGAACCCTGGGTCGGAGTCTAGGCCTAAAAGGATTTCCAGGCCCACAGGGCAGTCCGCAGCTTGCTGGGGGAACATGGGAGAGGTAGTACCGCAGGCTGCAGGGGCGGTGCGTCTCATGCACCTGCTAGGCCAGCGCAGCCTGGCCCACAAGCAGTTCTGGAGAGGACAGCCTTTAGGGGCCCAACAGCACTAGACTAGCAGTTCAGGGTTGTGGACGGACAAAGTCCCGGATGTCTCAGGGAAATGCATCGTAGAACCTTCTTACAAAGTCCACAGACCTTAGTTCTGGTTCTGGATCCCATTGGGCTCCCTTCTTCCCTCGTTAGCGGCTCTCCAGGCAGGGCTCCACTTTACGTGACTCTGGGGTTAGTTGTGTGACTCATTACCCTCGCATTGGGGTGTGTAGCCTTGTCTTTAGGGACGCCTGTCTTCCTCGGTCCCTGACCTGCTCCATTCTTTCCTGTTCCTCTCCATTCTCTCCTGCCTTTGACTTCAGACCTCAGTGGCTGCTCTACCTACTGGGCACTCGTGATCTTGATTATATTCCCATCCCCTCCCTCCAAGAACTGATAACACATCGGGCTCTTCCCGTCTCCGGGCCAACAAGGGCTCTGCTGGGGTGATTCTCTGCCATCCTGAGTCTGGATTGATGCAGCTGCTGACAAAAGCAGCCAGTGAGACAAACAGGAGCGCTGGGAGTGGGGGTGGGGCTGCCACCAGCCCGGGGCAGTGCTGACTTCAGCACCCTGAGAAAACCAGAGTCAGGGAGGACATCAGATGCCCCAGTGATCCAGGTGGTGGTGATAAGGGCACCTGACTCAGGAACATTGCCTGAGTACACAGGCTCTTCCATCCTTCCTTGTGGTTAGCCAGAAAGCCAGAGTTCCAGTGTAAGCCCTTCCAGACACCGCCCCCTTTACTCACACATTCTTCACACATGTACCCACCTCTGGCCTCTCCCACACCTCCTGACACCCCCACACAAGGGTCTACACGGATCTAAAGGGGATTGCCCAGACTTTCTTCACTCCTGGGGTCGGCCACAGTAGATTTGGTACTTTCCTGGCACACTCCTCAAGCCCAGGTGGGCTGGGCCTCCTCAGACGGTCCTGGTCATTAATAAACCACAGTCCCCCTCCCCACCACACCTCTGCCTGGCTCAGGGCTTATGGCTTAGCAGAAGGAGTTGGAATCAAGTCAGCACAGAGACATCTTGCTCTAGACTGCCCAACCCCAGGCAGCTGCTCCTTAGGGTTCCCAGAGCCTCGGGCATCCTAGGGATGAGCATTCTGCCCTAGGCTAATGGAAAACCAAGTGTGGTCCTTGCTTCAGGGTGGCCTTCTGTCCAGGCCTGGGGGAGTGTATGTCTGCAGGGGAGACAAGTCAATGAAGTTTTCGGCTAGCAGTCAGTTCTGGAAGAAGAGGCTCTAGGGTAGGCAGGAAAGGCAGACAGAAAGCTGTTCCTGGAAAGGGCAGGATGTGGCCGGCCCTGGTTCATTACTGGGAAGGAGCACGGATGTAGCAGTAACTGGGGAGAGCAGAGGGCTCCGGAAGGCTTCATACCTTCTCACGTGGAAGGCACATCTCCAGACTGTATTTCAGACTGTATCCCCACCAGTTCCACACTGGGGAAAGCCACCCCCGGGGCTTCATGCCCTCATCCCATGACTGCACACAATGGAGACCCCTGGTCCAAGTGCTCAGTCGGCTCAGAGCAGGTGACACATGGTGATTCGAGCCCTGATCTCCTGGGTCCCAGCCCTCAGCTTTCCGTACATTACCAGAACCTGCTAGGGAAGACCAGGCAGGAATGGGGGCTAATTTGTCGCCTCCGAGTTAACTCTTCGGGCGTCTATGCCAACACTAGTAGCCTCCATCCCTAGCCTTCCCCTGCGCACTTCGGGGCTCCCGGGGTTGCTCAGATGATGAGCCGGTAAACCCATGCATGTGTGGGTACTCAGCAGCCGCTGAGCCCTGATGCCTGGGAGGCCTTCCTGCCAGTTTTGCGGTCATCTGGAGGCCTGTGGTGAGTCTGCTTGGGCCATTCTTTGAGGCTGTTTCCAGGAGGTGTCCAGGGTATTCCTCTTCATTGTCAGCTGAAGGCTCCCCTTTCTGGTGCCGCAGGTCTGTCTGTCTGTCTGTCTGTCTGTCTCTCTCTCTCTCTTAAACATCCCTAGAACTTAACAGATTTGGGGGGTTATCCTCTATGGCCCCCACAAGTAAGCCCCAGGCCTCAGGGTTGCAGGCTTACCCAGGGCTGAGAGCTAAGAAGAGGGTGTGGGTAAGGGTTCTAAGCCTACATTTGCCAGCACCTGCTCTGGCTGTGTACTTGGGAATGCCCTTAACCTCGCTATATCTCCACTCCCTCTTGTATAAGATGCGTACACCCTGTTCACTCCAGGTGATGGACGGCTGTAAAAGATCCAGCGCGGTCAGTTTTGCAGCTGAAAATGCAAAGAACGATCCACTGTATGTCAGACAGTGAGCGAGAGAGAGAGAGAGAGAGAGAGAGAGAGAGAGAGAGAGAGAGAGAGAGAGAGAGAGAGCGAGCGAGCACTGGGTTATTAAGGAGTGGCCTTGCTTATTGAGTTTGTCTCATTGATTTCCTCCTGCCTGGCATTAATTAGAAATGCTTTCTTCCCAGTCCCCGGAGCCCGGGGGTGGGAGCTGCAGGTCCTCCCAGGCTTCCCAGACGCTGGCCTGGAGCCTACCCTCTATCCCTGGGTGCCAGCAGACATTCCAGGAGGAATCCAGGAAGGACCACTCTGTATTCTTTCTCTCCGCCCACTGACCTATGATTCAGAGACCGTGGGCTATTGAAAGTGTTCAGGAGTAGTTAGTGAGGGTCTCGGAGCCATTCCTGAGATAAAGGGGTATATCGGGTAGTCACCTTGGGCATGCCGTGTATACTGGGCATTAGGGCAGTCTCCATCCAGACTGGGTCCTCTTCTCCTAATATCAGGTCTGCTTTTCATGGCTACACCAGGGGCCCCGCATTCAGCCAGTTGTTACTATCAATGTTTTTTTTTTACAGCTGAGTAAAAGAGGTTTAGACTTACAGAAGGCCATTCAGAAAAGAAATGGCAAAGCTAGCCCTGTATCCCTCTCCTGACTGCATCCAGGAGTCTCTGCCTTTTTCTGTTCTTCTATATCTGGGCTTACACATAAGTCCAGGCTATGAAAGCAACTTAGCATTCATCCTAGAGGTTGTTGCACAGGCCCTAGAGTAGCCAGAAGCTGGGAGAGTGAGCATGAGGTAGGAGGGTGAGCATGAGCCAGGAGGGTGAGCATGAGCATGAGCTGGGAGGATGAGCTAGGAGGGTGAGCATGAGCTGGGAGGGTGAGCATGAGCTGGGAGGGTGAGCATGAGCTGGAGAGTGAGCATGAGCTGTAGGGTGAGCATGAGGAGTCACTGCTTCAGTCTCCAGGTTTTCCCAACCACACACCCCAGAGGAGGCTTCTCACTGCTTGTCATTTGATAACAGCTTACCAGAACTTGCAGAATTTGCAAATGTAGGAGGGTTAATAGGAGGCCTCTGTGCTTATTACATCATAGGAAAGGTTCCTGGAAGCCATCTGCTTGTCAGCAGACTGGAGTAGGCTTCCTGTAGGCATGCCCAGGGCACCAGAGGCAGCAGCCTCCTCCAGCCTTCCTCTCTCCCTAGCTACAAAGGCATCCTTGTGTCTCATCTCCATCTTACTGTGTTCCCCATCCTCACACCTCTGGATGTAGACACAGGGAACTGTAAACCAAGAAAGGGAGCGCAGAGATCATCCATCCCGGAAACAGAGACCAAGGATAAGCGAGGGGATTCCATTGCCCAGCATATCAAGTTAATAACGGAGCAGAAACTACAAGGAACCCACCCAGGCCAGTGATCCTACAGAGACAGACCTGCAGAGCAAGCTCCATCCTGTGGCGACTTTGTAAAGAACACACCGAGGAGTTCTTTATAAAGGGGCGGGGCATTTGGCCAAGGTCATAAGTAAGAATATCACCACTCTTAAATTTGATCTTCACAACCCTGTGGTCAAGGCATTGGTGGGTCCTGATTTAGAGAGTGGAAAACTAAGGTCCAGAGATGGCTTGTTCGCTGTGTCCCAGATGTAAAAGGCAGAACATCATAGAAAAGGACTCTATGTCAATTGTGTGCAACAGAGGCCGATGGAGTACCTGCCGTGTGCACCCTGAGCACAGGGGAGATGAAGAAGGATAAGGCTCCTTTGTTCAGGTTGGGGCCACAGGGAGAGTCCCCTAATTATATGAGGGACATGGGTACCCAATGTTGTTAGGGAGATATAGCTCAGTTTGTAAAAAGTGCTTGTCATGCAAACTTGAGGACCTGCTACCCACATAATAAAAAGCTAGGCGTAGAAGCGATCGTGTCCCCTTCTACTTATAACCCTGGCACTGGGGAAGCTAAGAGAGGTGGATCCCTGGGGCTTTCTGGGCACCAGCATGGACTGTTTGATTAGTTCCAGGCCAATGAGATAATATGTATTGAGAATCATGGGGGATGGTTCCTGAAGAATAACCTACCCAAGGTTGGCCTCTGGCATCCACATTCAAGAACATAGATGTGCATATACCTTCACACACACACATACCAGGTGTGCAAGAAAAAAATTGAAAGAAATGCCTACCCAAACTCCTGGATCAGACTTGAGGTGTTAATCCACTGGTTATCTCAGAGCCCCCATGATCCATTCACTTCCTAAAAGCCCACCAATTGGCAACCAGTCCCCTCTTTTGGAGCCCACTGCATAGACAAACCATGACATCTTCTCTCTTCTCCCCGATCAAGAGTTGCTTGGCACTAAATAGAACCAGAGCTCTAGAGTTCCTGGAACCAGCAGATTTGAAGTAACTCAGTGCTGGGTAACCAGCGGCCCAGTCACATCCTCAGGAAGGACTCCCGTACAGAATAGGATCTGAGTGTTTGGGGCCACAGCAGATGAGTGAGGAAGGAAGCGAGCCTGGGAGCTATAGGAGAACCAGTCACTTCAGTCTGTAACAAGAACTCGGACTTCGTCCCAACCAGGAATGGGTGTGGTCCGAACCTGTATCAGTCACTTGTATCTTCTGTTTTGCTGACTGTACCCTGTGAAGAATTTCTGAGTCTTTATTCCAGTTCAAAACAGATGTCCAAGGTGGTCATGATGATGCACACCTGGAATCTCAGCACTTTGGAGGCTGAGGCAGGGGCTTTTCAAGTTTGAGGCTTTACTGGCCTATAAAGGAAGTTCAAGGCCAGTGTGGTCTACTGCAAGGCAGTAAGACCCCCAAAATATCAGCACAAAAACAATGGCTAGACTTCTTTTCCCACCAGGAGCCCTGGCCCCTAACTTTAATAAGAAGATAACTGGATAGAGGCTGCCCTTTATTAGAGTAGCAATGCTTATGATAGAATCCAGCATTTACTGAGCATCATTGCCCTCATCCTACTAGCCAGATACTCCCTAAGGACCATTCTGTAGATGGAGAATGCTAAGGAGGCCTGGGGATATAGCTCAGTGAAAGAGCATTTGTGTAGCATGCATGAGACCCTGAGTTTGAATCACAGAGAGAGAGACAGAGAGACAGAGATAGAAAGAGAGAGAGATTTGCTCAAGGTCAAACAACCACATGGGAGGAGCCAGGGTCCAAACTCAAAAACTATTTCCAAGACTGTGTTGTCTTACATCAGACCCTTCACTATACTTCCATACTCCAAAGCTCCTCCCACTGACTATGACTCTGCCACAGGGTATGATTTTGCTGCTGTCCTTGAATGGTTTGCCGAGCGGGTGGACCGCATCATCCTGCTCTTTGACGCCCACAAGCTGGACATCTCTGACGAGTTCTCGGAAGTCATCAAGGCTCTCAAGAACCATGAGGACAAGATGCGAGTCGTGCTGAACAAGGCGGACCAGATTGAGACCCAGCAGCTGATGCGGGTGTACGGGGCCCTCATGTGGTCCCTGGGGAAGATCGTGAACACACCGGAGGTGATCCGGGTCTACATTGGCTCCTTCTGGTCCCACCCTCTCCTCATTCCTGACAACCGGAAGCTCTTTGAAGCTGAAGAGCAGGACTTGTTCAGAGACATCCAGAGTCTACCCCGTAATGCTGCCCTTCGAAAGCTCAATGACCTCATCAAGAGGGCCCGGCTGGCCAAGGTAAGACTACCCCCAGCAGATGAAGTATAGACAGTTTCATAGATAGGGGTCAGTTGCAAGAAATGAGGTCCCTTGGATAGGAGAGTGTGGGTGGTGGTGGTTGTTGGCTCTGGGTTAGATGGCCAGGTTGACTCCATGACCACCTCAGTGATCCCCAGGATGGCTATGTTTTTACAGTTTCTCTGTGTCTTTTTCTGTATTTATAAACTGAATGGACTGATGGAGGATGAAGAGAAACTGAGTGTGAAAACCTTCATCACTGTACTAGACACCTTGGTGCTCAGTGGGTTGACAGTGTCTACAACAGCAGCGGCCATGACGAATTCTCACCTCCACCTCTATGACCTTCCTTCCCCATATTCTCACTGTGCTAGCCCAGCACCGTGAGGGATGGCGAGAGAAATGGTTTCAGAAGCCGAGGCAGGAGGAAGGACTAGAGGGGCTGCCAGTTCAGGCTCCTAATGAGGTTGTCCTCTGTCCCTCTTGGTCAGGTCCACGCCTACATCATCAGCTCCTTGAAGAAAGAGATGCCCTCGGTGTTTGGAAAGGACACCAAAAAGAAGGAGCTGGTGAACAACCTGGCTGAAATTTATGGCCGGATTGAGCGAGAGCACCAGATCTCCCCCGGGGACTTCCCCAACCTGAAGAGGATGCAGGTAATGAGGGTCAGGGACCCTACAGTGAGAAACAGCGTCACCCTAGCTGGCTGCCAGAGGATGAAGGGGGCTGACAGAGCTCCTGGGAGAAACCCAAAGTCAGAATGCAAGGAGGTGACATTAGGCATGTCCTTCCTGATGAACCGTCACTCACAGCAAGTGCCCTAGCGGAGCCAGAGGAGAAATAGTCCAGTGTCCCCAAAGACACGGGTGTGTTTGATGACATAGAAGACCTCATCTAGTGACGGGTACATCTCAACTATGTCTAGAATAATAATACAGACCCTTAAGTGCTTAGGTTTACCTCTGAACTCCTTCCTGGGAACAGTTTGTGACACACAGCATCTTTGGGGTATGTTGCAAGCCTTTGAACCTAGGGCCGCCACTTAGGATGTGTGTGTGTGTGTGTGTGTGTGTGTGTGTGTGTGTGTGTGTGTGTGTGTGTGTAGTTCTCAGAAGGAGCATCTTCATCTGCCTTTTATACAAGAATCAGCTGAGATCTTAGCATTTTCCCAGCAAAGCAGTCACATAAGCCTTAAGTAGAAAAGCCAGGAACTGTCCCCAGGAGCCAAGCAAGAAGCCATTATGCCACAGAGACCAGATTCACACTGAGCCTTCATGTCATCTGTAAGTGGGCTGCAAAGGGCTTTGCACACAAGTGCTAAGAACCCAGTGAAGTATCTTGTCTGCAAGGCCCTTAGCATGGAGCCCTGTCTTGTTCTCCACAGCCCTTCTTCCTGGCCCAGCCCTAGAGAGAAGTAGCCTGCCGGCCCTTGAACTGTAGCTGTGGCTAGCCTTTACATTTTCTGCAGTGGATTCGATGTGCCCATCCTTGTTTCCTGGCCTCTTCCCCACCCACATAACGAGATTGCGGTGGTCAGACTAAGGCAGCATGAGCAACTGTGTCCTTCTAGAACAGTGGTTCTCAACACGTAGGTCATGAACCCTTTGGGACAGAGTGACCCCTTCCACTGGGGTGTTCCTAAAACCATCAGAAAACACAGGGATTTACATTACTATTCGTAACAGTAGCAAAATTATAGTTATGAAGTAGCAACAAAAATAATATCATGGTTGGGGGTCACCACATCAGGAGGAACGGTATTAAAGGGTTGCAGCGTTAGGAAGGTTGAGAACCACTGGACTAGAAGCAAGTTGAAATGGGATGTTCTAGGTTGAGGACCTTTCAAGACTGCAAAGGTCTTCAAAGGAGAGCATCTTTCTTTTATGATGTGGGCGGGTAGCCCTGGCAAAGGAAACAGCTATTGTAAGGTCAACATGCCTGCCCATGCCTACTAGGTCAGAATTCTCGGCAGGGGTCCAGACTTTTGAGACCTCCAGCCAGGCAATTCTAGTGAGTAATCCTGATTGCGAACTCTAAGGTTCTGTGGGGGTTTTAGTTACCCTAATTTTCAATCCCCGTCACCTTGACCCCCTCACTACATATGCATGGTATGTGACTTCTCTACCTCCCAGGGTACCGAGAAGAGTGAACCAGTGGGCAGACAATGAAAGCACTTTGCTTGTGTGTTTTTCAAACATAAGCTTTCCTGGAGACCCACATCTCAGAGGGCCACCACCTTCAAGAGTCAGCATTTAACAGCCAAAACTTGGCAAGAAATGTATGAGCTACCTCTTATAATAATATTTAAAGAGATGTAAACAAACAAACCAGCACTTGTTGCCTTGGTTCCCCAGCTCTTGCTCTTGACCCATTCATAGCCCCTCAAGCCCTTGTTGCTCCCCTCACACAGTCCCTTGGCCTCACTGCTCACTAGAAAGATAATTGGGAAAGCATTCTATAGTTAACAGGAAGCACCCTCCCTGATCCGGAAGAGCTTCCCTTGTATTCTACTTCCGCCTTTTTCTTTCTCTTCCCAGGACCAGCTGCAGGCCCAGGACTTCAGCAAATTCCAGCCACTGAAGAGCAAGCTCCTGGAGGTGGTAGATGACATGCTGGCACACGACATTGCCCAGCTCATGGTGCTGGTGCGCCAGGAAGAGACCCAGCGACCTGTCCAGATGGTGAAAGGCGGGGCATTTGAGGGAACCCTACAAGGCCCCTTCGGGCATGGCTATGGAGAGGGAGCCGGGGAAGGTATTGATGATGCCGAGTGGGTGGTGGCCCGAGACAAGCCTATGTATGATGAGATCTTCTACACCCTGTCCCCGGTGGACGGCAAGATCACGGGCGCCAATGCCAAAAAGGAGATGGTACGCTCCAAGCTACCCAACAGCGTGCTGGGCAAGATCTGGAAGCTAGCTGACATTGACAAGGATGGCATGCTGGATGACGAGGAGTTTGCCCTGGCCAATCACCTCATCAAAGTCAAGCTGGAGGGGCATGAACTACCCAATGAGCTGCCTGCCCACCTCATTCCTCCATCTAAGAGGAAAGTACCTGAGTGACAGAGCCAGGTAACTTCAGACAGGCAGTGTTAGAAGAGAGAATGGGCATGATGACCATACACACACACACACACACACACACACACACACACACACACACACACACACACACACACATATACAGTGTGACTTGACAGTCACACTGTAGACTAGAAAGGTCCATCCTCGTTTGAACACCTCTTCAAGTTCCCAGGGTTGGAAGAAGGGCAGCTGTACCTCTTCTGTCCCGGGATATATAAGCCCGTGTCTCCAAATTTCCTCTCTGTCTCCCATTCCCCAGAGACATGAGGCAATTGCCTGGCCCACAGATGGCCCAACCTTCCCTATCCCCCAGTGCCTCCGCACCTACGCTCTGAGCAGATGGGAAAGGCTTTTCATGGAATAGACAGTTCGCTTTCTGTTCTGTGCTTTTATTTCTCTTCTTTAGCTTCCTAATTAGAAATTTACTCAGGGGCTGGGAGCTGTGAGGGAAAGAGGAGAAGCTGGGGGAAGATAATCAAATGGAGACACCTCCTTGGGGCACTGCATCCCAGACTTGAAGAAACACTGGCCCGTGTTCTTTGTATCTTTCTGAACCGAAGACACCCTGTCTTCCTCACCACACTTGAACTCTGCCTGCCATTTTTGTGTCAAAGAATCCCAGATGGGGAGAGAAAAGGAAAAACTTGGTAGAAAGCACAAGGAAGTTGCCCTGGGGTCTTCTTCAACAGGGCATTTGTAGTTCACCGGTTTATCAAGCCTAGGCTGTCTGGATACTCGGTTTCTTTACATACACCAAGCCCCTCCTGTGTGGTAGGGACAGTGTTAGGCACTTTATACATGTTGGTTCCTGAGGCCTTCACTAATGCCCTTTCCAAGTATACATCACCCCCGACATGCGTTTTTCAGGTGAGGAGCCAGAGGCCCAGAGTAGTTTAGGGGACCTTCCCGAACTTCTGAGGTCACAAGGAGAGAGGATGCCAATCCTCCGTCTGTCCCTGTTCTGTGATGGATGAAAGGTCCCAGCGCTGCCACTTGGTGATAAAGCACAGAACCCTCCTCACACAGCCTCCCAGAGCATCCAGGCAAGGCAAGAGGGCTCACCAGCATTTGGTGGGCCATCCATCTGGCCATCTGTCACCTCCTAGAAGCAAACTGTGCCTTCTGGCTCTGTGCCTCGTGTTCCCAACATCACAGAAGTCCAGCCAAGCCATCAGGAGAGTGGGCTGGCCTGCTGGATGCTGTTTGTTCCTGTTCCCACTGAGCCTCCTGTCTGTTCACCTAGAGCATCCCAGCTCAAATTCAGCCACTGGATGTCACCAAGCAGGACTTCGTGCTAGTTCTCAGAAGGCCACCTTGAGAGGACCGGGACCTTGTTCTCTGTAGACTTTCAGGGACTCTGGTGTCCTTGGCAACAATCCCCCAACTGTGCTCAGTGCCCTGCATCCTCCTCTGTGGCCTCTCCCTTGCCTTGCTCCCCAGCCACTGGTCCAGCGACTGTCTGCTACACTCCTACTGTGATGGAAAGCAAAGCGACTGTAACTTATTTTGTATCGATGTTCAGACTATATAGAGACTGTTCTGTGTATCTACCATGTGCTTATAACTGCATTGTGTCTGTCGTTAGGATTCATGTTAATACAAAACATTTATCCTTTGGTACCCCCTTTGGCGACTGAGCATCATTGCCTAGCACTAGAGTCTGACACGGGGTGCCTAGTGGGAACTTTGGAAGAAAGTAGCTCAGCCACTCAAAGGTCATGAACAATGCCTTCTCTTGGGCTCGTGTTCTTATCTAGTGGCCAGCTTATATGATGACCAACATCGAGAGTGTCTGAAAGCTCACATCCTAGTGGAGAAATGGGTATTTAAAACACTGGTAATACAAAGAGGGAGTGGAGAGAGAGAGAGAGAGAGAGAGAGAGAGAGAGAGAGAGAGAGAGAGAGAGAGAGAGAGAGGCAACATGGGGACTCACTCTTTCTTGCTCTTCTGGAGTGGAGATGTTTGCTTCAGCAAACTTAACGTTTCTCTTGCGTCGATAGTAGAGGATGGCCAAGACAGAAAAGTCTCAACTCAGAAGACAGCCCCAAAGAACCCAACAGAAAAGCCATTCCCCTATTCCTTGTGTTGAGCTGCAGGTAATTTAAGAAATTAGCACATGAAGTCTGTTTTACTTCTTATGATAGCAGATGTGTGAGAGTCTCATACCACATACCTGCCTTTCTCTATATCCCTGTCTCTCCATCTTGTCTTTAAGACCACCCAGGAGGATCTGGAGGGTACAAGAATTCCACATTCTCTTTCTGCCATCTGGAAGGAGGTAGTGCTCAGGTCTCCTCTCAATGTGGTGTGAGTGCGTGCGTGCGTGCGTGCGTGCGTGCGTGTGTGCGTGCGTGCGTGTGTGCGTGCATGCATGCGTGCGTGCATGTGTGTTTGTGTGTGTGTGTGTTATTCTCTCTTGGGCAGTACCCTTCCAGCTCCAGCTGTTGTGGCCTGCTGACCCCTTGCAGGACCTGGAGATTTGCAGCGATCCCATGCCTCATTCAAGGGGACAATTCACATGAGAAACAAAGACACATAGTGGCCATGGCATTTACAAAATCTTCTACATCTCCTTTCTCCCATATAGTCAGTCTAGACCATGAAGGCCAGAGTCAGTGAAGCAGAAACACCCCACAATCCTGGCCCAGTGAAGCTTGCCTCTGTACCAAAGAGTTAAGTCCCGACCAAAACACAGTTATATACTTGTGCAGCTAGGTGAGCAGCCCACTGCAGTAGGGTGTGACCTCTCTTCACAGACTGGTGAGTGTTTTCTCTGAGTTACCCCCTGCCCCATTTGAGTCCCTCTGTTCCAAGAACTAGTATGTGTACATTTGGTTCATCAAGAACTCTCTGGGGGAGAAATAGCTTGTTCATTCTTCCTATGACATGCCAACTGGCCTTTGTACATATTCAAACCCTTCTGTCCATCCATCTGTGTACCGTCTTCTGCTTGAGAGACCATCAGCACTTCCCACAGAAAGACTCTTAGGAAAACCATAGACATTTATTCTTTGAACCATTCAGAAATACTTAATGAAGTCCACGTGTGTCATCAGGTCTATTTTAGATGAATCAAACCAACATCGAGAGTGTCTGAAAGCTCACATCCTAGTGGAGAAATGGGTAATTAAAGCACTGGTAATACAAAGAGGTAGTGTGGGGAGAGAGAGAGGGACAACATGGGGACTCAAAGGAGTCAGAAATGCCTTCAAGACAGAGTAAAAGAAGTCACAGAAAGCCTGGGATGAGGGCAGACACCTAAGTAGTATAGGTATTAGGGACCAGGCGTTAGTCCCTGGAGTCACACAGGGGCAGGTGTGTCATTTGGAAAGAAAACCCATGATTCCCAGGTTTCCTTACAGCCAGGTTTCAGGAGATGATTTTTAGGTCCTGCTCACCCAGTATTCCAGTGGAACCCAGGATCTCTGTCCTTCTTTGGAAATGCTTACCAAGAACCCAGAAGGAGTTCTGGGGCCAGTGTCTTGGCCAGCCTCTCCTTCCCTCCTAATCCAAGGATGATAGACAGAATTTTTATACAAACCTAGACAGTGTTTCCAGGCCACCAAATCATAGCAGACTTAGGAAGACTGCAAAGCATGATTAGAATTTTGCCTCTGGGGACCGTGCTAGCTTTTTTTCCATGAAGAAGTGAGCCGAGGTTTTTGCAAGGTTAAATAGCCCAGTGGGCAACATGCTAGTAGATGGCGCTGTGAAAGCTCACCAGCCACCTGTGTTTGCCCACCTAACCCTGGGGGAGCCTGGAGGCGGTGTGGATAGGATGGATAGGTGTGTGTCTGTGTATATGTCTCTGTGTGTAGCTATATATGTAGCTGTCTCTGTGTTCATGTCTGTGTGTGTGTGTCTGTGTATCTCTGTGTGTGTTTGTGTGTGTGTGTATCTGTGTATGTCTGTCCCTGTGTGTCATCTGTGTGTGGTCTGTGTGTTTCTGTGTCTGTGGGTGTGGGAGCCCGTTCTGGGGTTCCTCGTGGCTTTACCCAGCAGGTCCAAATAGAGGATGATCAGGACCACGGGCCTGAGTGCAGGTGTCTGAGATGGTCTGCACTTGGCTGTGCTGGGGGAGGAGGTCTTTTGCTCCACCCCTTGGCGTCTCTATAAAAACCCTGGACCAGAGACAGTCCGGGCCCGTTGGAATAGGTTCCAGGCCCTCTCGAGGCTATCCTTTATTTTCTATCTGTTTATCTCCGCAAGATTCTCCACTATAAATCCTTCTATCTAATATTTCCTGCTGCTCGCACTCAAGAAAACTCTGGGAAGCTGTGGGGGTGGTGGGTAAACGCCCCACATGTGGGTCTGTGTCTGTCTGTGTATGTGTGTATCTGTGTATATGTCTGTGTGTGCCTATCTGTCTGTGTGTTGGGATCAGCATGGGAGGGCACTCTGAAGTGCTGCTTACTAGACAGATGAAGAGGATCAGGCATGGCAAAGCTTTCCAGAGAGAATGGCACGGGAATGTTCCAATTATCTTCCTCAAAGAGTTGGGGAGATGGTTCATTGGCTGAAGTGCTGGCTGCACAGGCATGATGACCCGAGTTTGAATCCCCAGCACCCATGTAAAAATGAGGGTACAGTGGTGTGCACCCTGACCCCTAGCACTGGGGAGCTAAGGGAAAGAGACAGATAGCTCCCCGGGGCTCACTAGCCAGTTTAGCTAACTGGTGAGCTCCAGGTTCAGTGAGAGAACTTGTCCAAATAAGGCAGAAAGCAACTGAGGAAGATATCTGACACTGACCTCTGACCTCCCGGGACATGTGCACATACATGCATGTGCACCCTCACATACATTTGCACAGCATGAACACATAATAAACAGTCCTCTTCTAAGAATTGATTGAGACTGGGTATACTTATACTCAATACTGTAAAATAAGACATGTTAGAAACAGTGGCTCAATTTGCTTGCCTTAGGATTTCATGAGCTAGGTCCCTTTCCCTAAGCCAGGAAATACCACTGAAGCATCATGGTAGCAGCCACCACTGGAGGGTGGGTTAGCATGTAAACACGTAGCTGCAGAGGCAGAGGTTGGGAAGAGCAGGTGCTGGGATCTCAGGTGACCCGAGTTCCAGTATGGGACCAGCCATGTGGCTCTCTGTGCCTCCATCCATTGTTCCCCTAAGGAGAGCTCATTTTAGTCTTTTGGAACCATTTTGAGGATGCAGAGACCAAAGGTGGAAAAACTCACCACTAATATCAACATTCTACGTGGGTTAGTTTTGTTGGTATTTACTAGGAGGAAGCTGGCATTGGAGAATGGGAGAATTCTATCCATATCAAGAAATGAAACCAACCAACCCCAGGAAAGGCATGGAGGGAGACAAGAGTTGAGGAGGTGATGGACAGAGCAGTACCGAGTATTGATACCTGAAGTGTTCAGGAGCCTGTCCACTACCTGGGTGGTACCTGTGACCTTAGACTCTTGAGTCCACTGTGTGTGAGGAAAACACACAGCCACTATGATCTGGAACCGAGCAGTCTATGAACAGTGGACACACTCACTAGATGGGTTTGTAGGATCGTGGCTGCAATGCAGACCACCTGAGCACTCCAGAGGCCACGGCAGAGGCTCCGATGCTGAAAGCGGGACTCCCGTGGCAAACATCCACCCTCATGAAAGCACCTGGGTTTCTACTTTTGTGTCTGTTTCTAAAACCTTGTTTAAGACAGTCAAGCTGAGCCGGGCGGTGGTGGCGCACGCCTTTAATCCTAGCACTTGGGAGGCAGAGGCAGG